GCACCCAGCAACAAGAAGCGACATATCGATCGAGATTCGTTGGCCGACGGGCGACCGAGAGATTCGTTGGCCGACGGACGACCGATACGGAGGTAAGGAGGAGCAACGAGGTCAGCAATAGGAAATGCGATAGGGGGGAGGAGGAGGAGGAGGAGGAGGAGGAGGAGGAGGAGGAGGAGGAGTAGGACGGGTGAAGGAGGACACATGAGGTGACCTGCAAGTACTCTCGTGAGTTAGCTGCAGATGTGCACATGCGCGTGAGTTGTTGAGGGGTTGCTGGTGGGTCGACCGATGTGCGGAGCTATAGGATGAATGTGGATATTGCTCGCAACTCATGTCCGTGAGCTCCGCATGCTGGCACCATCTCATCAGCTGGCTGCTCGCCATGGCCTTTCCAGATCGACCGCGCGGGGCCCCTCCAACGCTGCAATCTGGTCCTCGAGGCTGCAGGCGAAAGGGGTTGCATGAGGGAGGAAGCATCGACTAGCAGTTGCGATACCAAGAGGGAGGAGTGTGCGTCTCCCTGGGAAGTTGCGGTGCCATCTCTCGCACTACGGGGGAGCCACAGACCCACGTGCAATTAGACGTGGTTTGCACTGCCTGTGCGTACGCGTGCTCATATATATAGAGAGAGAGAGAGAGAGAGATTCATGCATGGGCTGGTGTGCATTTAAACGTGTGGTGGCAATAATGTGTGGTGTGCCCACATGCATAATAAGATCATGATGTGTCCAAGTGCATATCTGGATAAACGCATACCATCTTGTGCTACACGGGAAGGGCTGCTCGCAATCCTGGGTTGCACGCCCCCCGCCCACCCCCCCACCCCCAATGCATATGCATAGGACCACCCAGCAACCCCACCCACCCCCGCTGGATCCGCACATGAATTTCGCGAGCCTCGCGAATGGGATCGCCCACCCACCCCCAGCAGCAAGGCGCGGCGCCCCCGCCAAGCGCATGCATTCCCACACCCTGCCTGTGGGTATCGAGTCGCATCGTCGACGCCGTCGCCGTCGACGACCACGTCGGCGTTCGTCGTCGGTGCCTCGTCGTTGTCGCCCACCCCATCCAATTGACCAGGGGGTGGGTGGGGGGCGCGGCGGGGCCCATGTAGAATTTACACATTGCGTATGTACACACATATGTGTATGCATAGGACATGTGCGTATGTGCATTTATAATGCATGTATGTACACTTATGCATGTATGTGTGTATGTGTGCATGTGTGTATGTATGTACGTATGTATGTATGTATGTATTGTAGGTATGTATGTATGTATATGTATACGTATGTATGTATGTATGTATGTATGTATGTATGTATGTATGTATGCAGAAGCGTATGTAGATGTATATATGTGTATGTGTTTGTTTGTGCGTGAGTACGTGTGTATGTATATGTGCGCATGGATCAAGGCGTGCGCGCACGCGCGCGAGTGCACGGCGCATGCGGCAAAGAGACAGACCCGCCGCACAGGTGCACCTGGGCTTCCTGCAGGGCGCCAGCGTTGCATCCGTACTCGGCCGCGGACATGACTTCTATGGCCACGCCGAACAAGAACGCCTACCCTCGGGTCTGTCGGGGGGCCCGCCAAGGGCCCCATGCCCTCGGGGGCCCTCGGGGCCCCCAGCCGAGGACCCCGCGGGTCCAATGTCGCGGGCCTATATATAGGGCCTCGTCGGGCCCCAAGTGGCCCGACTAATTGATCGAAGCGCGACGGGCCGCGCCAGGCCCGTTGGATCGATCGGGGCGGGGCCGCGCTGGCCTCCGAAACCCCATCGGAACCCTCGGGGGCCCGCGCGGGCCCCGTCGGGGCCCGCGGGTGCGTGGCGTGGGCCGATCGGTCTGGCCCAGGGGCCCATCGGGTGGGCCCGAAGCCCCATCAGAACCCTCGGGGGCCCAGCTGGGCCCCGCGCGAACCCCGTCGGGGCCCGCGGGTGCGTGGCGTGGGCCGATCGGTCTGGCCCAGGGGCCCATCGGGTGGGCCCGAAGCCCCATCGGAACCCTCGGGGGCCCAGCTGGGCCCCGCGCGGGCCCCGTCGGGGCCCGCGGGTGCACGGCGTTGGCCGATCGGTCTGGCCCAGGGGCCCATCGGGCGGGCCCGAACCCCCATCGGAACCTTCGGGGGCCCATCAGGGCACCGCGCGGACCCCGTCGGGGCCCGCGGGTGCGCCTCAAAGGCCCATGGGGGGGGGGCGCCGACGGGCTTTGGGCGCCGCGGACGTGCGCCCCGTGATAATGTTCCCGTAATGTTCCCGTAATGTTCCGTAATGTTCCGTAATGTTCTCATGTTCCCGTAATGTTCCCGTAATGTTCCCGTAATGTTCTGTAATGTTCCGTAATGTTCCAATTTTCCCGTAATGTTCCCGTAATGTTCCCGTAATGTTCCGTAATGTTCCGTAATGTTCCATGTAATGTTCCCCGTAATGTTCCCGTAATGTTCCGTAATGTTCCGTAATGTTCTAATGTTCCCGTAATGTTCCCGTAATGTTCCCGTAATGTTCCGTAATGTTCCCTAATGTTCCCGTAATGTTCCCGTAATGTTCCGTAATGTTCCGTAATGTTCTAATGTTCCCGTAATGTTCCCGTAATGTTCCGTAATGTTCCGTAATGTTCTAATGTTCCCGTAATGTTCCCGTAATGTTCCCGTAATGTTCCGTAATGTTCCGTAATGTTCCCCGTAATGTTCTAATGTTCCCGTAATGTTCCCGTAATGTTCCGTAATGTTCCGTAATGTTCTAATGTTCCCGTAATGTTCCCGTAATGTTCCCGTAATGTTCCGTAATGTTCCGTAATGTTCTAATGTTCCCGTAATGTTCCCGTAATGTTCCCGTAATGTTCCGTAATGTTCCGTAATGTTCCGTAATGTTCGTAATGTTCCCGTAATGTTCCCGTAATGTTCCGTAATGTTCCGTAATGTTCCAGTTTTCGCCCGCGCCCTAAGGGGCGCGCAACCCCGTCTTTTGGGGGGGCGACGACGCGCCGTGCCCGACGGTGCGCGGCGCTTGCGCTGCCCGCGCCGATCGGCGGGGGCGCGCGCCCTGGAATTCCGCCTGGCGACGAGGCTTGCAGGCGAAAGGGGATCTCGCACCCGATCTGGATATTGCGCACGAGGAAAAAGGGTGCGTGGCGCACGCGCGCGCGCGCGTCCACGCGCGCAACCGCGCGAGGCGAGAACCGCGCGCCGACCTCGCGCCGCATTGCGCCTGCGCGTGTGTGATGTGCGTGTTGCATATTTGTATATGTACATGATATATGTATGTATGTGTGTATATATATACCATGCGCATTTGTAAGGCAGCGTGCACGCGTACGATATCTATGCATGTGTGTAACGATATCTATGTGTGTGATATGTACGTGTAGACACGCGCACGCGCGCGCGCCCATGCGCGCGCGTGTGCACGCATGCCACAACAATGATCTGGATATTGCAGCACGGTGAATTGCTGGCCCTCTGCCGACCGCGCTTCTTGTGGAGACATCGGAACTATCTCGACCCCGTCCCCGTGTTTGCCGCAGGTCGTTCCGGTGCGCAGCGCATTCATTCCGTGGACCAGGGGGCTCTATCTGTAGGCCCGATGGAGATCGGGAGGCGACGCAATGCCGCCGAAGGGCAAGCCTGGCGCCAAGAAACCGAAGGCCGACCCCGAGACTCTCAAGCGGGACAAGGCTCTGAAACGCAAGGCCAACGCTGATCACGAAAACTTGATGCAACGATTCAGGACGGCTCGCGGCAGGAACATGTGTAATTGTGCACATACCCAGAATTCACGGCCATCCTGGCGCGCTCCGAGCCCATTAACCCAGGGCCCATCGACGAACCCCATACCTCTAATCCCTTTCCTCGTCGCCCCCCCTAGATTTTTCCTTTTCGAGGACGGCCATGGCCAAGGCCAAGCAGGATGTCAAGGATGAGTACAAGAACTACTCCAAGGGCAGGGACGCCGAGTGGATCGCGAAGTTCAAGAAGTACGGCGCGACCCGTGTAAATCTACCCCACCCCGACGCACAGCCACTGCCACGTGTCAGAGGGGGATGCTGATATATGTGTATATCGATGTACACACATGTACGTATGCTTAGGTGTATATATATAGCTATATTTGTAAGTTTGACATACCAACGCACTCGCATGACCAGACTAGACATGTGGAGCGTGGTATCTATGTATAACACTGCAAGCGCATGTACATACACACGCCCATACATATATATATATATATATGAATAAATAAATAAGTGTATATATGTACACATATATATATATATATATATATGTGCAACTGTGTGTGCACTATGGCCAGAAGGGAACTTCGACTGGGTGATTTCCGAGAAGACCGAGCGCGAGAAGAAGACCACCACCAAGGGCGAAATGGACAACTGGAAGTCCTTCGACGCTTTGCTGACGCTGCGAGGGTGGACACCCTCGAACGAGAACACGGAGTTTGGGAAACGGCGAGCGCCGTTCTTTAAGAGGCGGAGGCGGAGGAGGAGGAGGAGGAGGAGGAAGAGGAGGAGGAGGAGGAGGAGGAGGATTATTGATGGGGGCAGGTAGGAGGAGGGAGAAATGGGGAAAGGGACAAGACATCAATGCAATGGCCCAGCTATACAATTCAATTGTCGCTCGTGCACTTGCCTCGTCCGCGCTCGCTTGTGGCACGAGCGGTAACGCTATAAATATAAGTATCCATCGCAGCTGCTATGCTTGGGCAGTGGCGGTGAAGAGCTACTGCGAGAAGATGCCTCGCACGCACGTGAAGGTGACGGCACACATTATAATGTGCAGACTTGCCCCCTGCAGGCCACCCTTTTCTCTAAGGTGGGAGAGGGGCCCACCTCCCTAGGCCTATCCTCTCCCGCCCTCGCCCCACCCTCGACTTGACCCCCCCTCTCTCACCCCCCTGGCCCCACAAGAGCCAGCGCGATGTTTCCGATCGATCCGAGGTTGATCCCCAGACTGGAGAATATCTGTATCGACGCATCGAACTGCAGGGTTCGGATATACTGTTACATGAGCAGGAGCTGGCCACCACCAACACCACGGGCAACGCCCCGATGGACAAGTGCACCCCCGTTAAGTATAAGCGCAGCGCTGGTGGCATGAAGTCCTCGGGCTCGAAGGACAAGGTTCCCAGGGCCCTGAGTCCACCGATCCATCGAACGATGCAAGATCGAGCCGATGCATCGGAGATGATATCGATGTCATGGTTTGTTTTATGTGCGTCGGTCGAGTCTCGAAGGCGCCACCCCCCGACGACAGCAGCTCGTACGAAGAGAGCTATGAGTCGTCGGATGAGGGCGAGGACGACGGCATGGAACCCGAGGCATTCCATATATAAGCCACTCCCCGCCCCCCTTGGGACCAGACTGCCCTGTGTCGCCCGCGTTTCGGTTTGAGATCGGCCTCGAGGCTGCAGGGGGTCAATCGAACGATCGACCGATCAGCCCCCCGCCCTCCCGCACCTCGAGGCGGCGCCACAGCCCGCGGCACCGAGCGGGGAGTGCAGCAAGGTGCTCGGCGAGTCGACGCGGCTCGACGCCCTCCTCTCTGGAATCGACGTGGGGCAGGGGTAGGGATCCCCTCGCATCTCCACCCCGCCTGGCGTCGATCGACCGATGTTTCGGATCGCCCTTCGGACGCGCCTGTGACGGGAGTGCGGGAGGTGGACGAGATCCCGTGGATGAAGCCCTTCAAGGCCCAGGTCGAGAACTCCATCAAGGCACTGAACACGGTCAAGGTTGCTATGACGGCGACGCTGCAGGGAAAGTCAGCGACTCAGACGACGCCGTCGATCGATGACGTGATCGACAACCGATCGCGACAACCAGTCCGATATCGATTTCGAACCGACCCATGTTCGAACTCGATCGAGCAGGCGAAGTGGGGACGAGGGGCAGAAGCTAATGAGGGTAGAGGAGGAGGAGGAGGAGGAGGAGGAGGAGGAGGAGGAGGAGGAGGGGGAGGAGGCGGATGAGGGAGCGAGGAGGGCGATCTGGAGATATGGTGCGATCGGAGGGCGCCCCCGCCCGATTGAATGCCGAGGCCGCCCAAAGACCTGGACATGGCCAGCATGAATGACAAGATCGACGAGGCCATGGCTTGTCTTGCCCCCGCCCATGCAGCGACAGATGAGGAGAGATCTCGAGGAGGCGACTGAGGGGTAACGAAGAGGAGGAGGAGGTGGAGGAGGAGGAGGAGGAGAAGGAATGAATAGGAGGAACTAGGCACTAGACAACCGAAAGAAAAACACGCACGAAACGTAGACCCTCAGGTTGACGTCCTCGGTGGACCCAGCGAAACGGCCAGGAGGGGGGAGGGAAGGCGGGAGAGGATACGACAAGGATGAGGAGTTTGCCGTGGGGACAGACGCATCCTTTTCTGCGCAATGCAGTGGCGTTAACACGTGCAGGAGGGCTCATGCGTCGAAATCCCGAGTTGCATTGCATTGATTCCAGTGTCCTGGGAGGCCAATCGCGTGTGGATGCTCATCGCCCCAGTGATGGCCAGCGTGCGGCAAGCGCAAGAGGCGCTTGCTAAGTAAGGTACGGTCCAGCTCGCCCCCGACCATTCCTTGTTATATTGTTGTGTGACGTGTTTGATGTTATGCTCGTCCTCCCCCCCCCCCCTCCCCCCCCCTCCCAGCCTGGCACCGACAATGATTGTGGTAGGCAGCAGCTCGAGCGTTCGACTGAAGGCCCTGTGCGGGAGATCACAGGCCAAGGGGAAGATTCAGACTTCAGAGTTGCTCGCCCGTGCCCGCACCGTGCTCGTGCGCTCGAGGACAATGGCGCGATGACCTCCTCCTCCCCCTCCTCCAGCAGTGTTGCCAATATGCTTGCAAGTTAGATCGGCCGACCATCACCAAGGGTATGTGTGTGCATATGTTTGTTGCCCGCTCCTGATGCTGCCGCTGCCAACGAGCATACACAGGTACAGTCGGGGCGCTGAAGAAGGAACCCTTTTCGTTGGGTAGGGGCTCGGTGTTATTTGATTGTTTCACAGCTTGCTCAAGGTTTTACTTAGGTTTTCGATGGGACGCCGACGTTCAGCTCATGGATAGGCTGGGCCTCGTTCCTTATTTAGGGCTCCTCAGGTCAACGCCCCGACTGTACCCCCGAGCAGAACAGTCGTGATGGTTGAGGGCAACTCTTTTGTTGTGGCGCGTGGGCGGTTCATTGATATCGCTTCGCTTCCGTAGCATTCCCATCGAGCTGTCAGCAGTTTTCCGTTTCGGCGGTGAACGTCGATCCGATGGCAGGCCGTGCTGCAGGGTCGTCCATGCTAGTGGATCTTGCGAGCCCGTATCAACCCGCGCTTGCAGAGGACCGACGGCGGGTAGCCAGAATGAATGGTGCACCTGGGCACTCACACTATATATGTGTATATATGTAGGTGTGTATGTATATGAGTGGAGGGAGGCATGGGATAAAGGAGGAGGGGGGCAAGCGAACGGAGAGTCCCCCCCCCCCACACACACACATACGCACATGTATATGCATATTAGGTATGTGTGTATGTGTGTATGTATGTATGTATGTATGTATGTATGTATGCATGCATGCATGCATGCATGCATGCATGCATGTGTGTATGTGTATTGTATGTGTGTATGTATGTGTGTATGTGTATGTGTATGTGTATGTGTATGTGTATGTGTATGTGTATGTGTATGTGCATGTGTATGTGTATGTGTAGGTGGAGGTGTATGTGTATGTGTATGTATATGTATGTATGCATGCATGCATGCATGCATGCATGTATGTATGTATGTATGTATGTATATGTGTGTATGCATATGTGCGATGTCGTGCCCAGGCCCACTCTTCGTTCCAGGCAGCTCGATCCAAGGACGCTGGCGATGACGGAGCAGGCCTCAGGCAGTACCTGCTGAGCAGGTGGCACGAGGGCAAGCTCGCGGCGAAGGATGTTGCACATGCTATAATTATTTCTCGCTTGACCCTCCCACCGCAAAGGCACCCCCCCGATGTGTTTTTCCCCCCCAGTTTTTTTGGTGTTCGTCCAGCGAGGGCGGTCTGCGGGCTGAGGATCGCGCGAAGAGTAGTTATAGAAGGACGTATGCAGCATCGCCTACCACGCCACGCGGGCGGGGGCCATCGGAGTCGCAGACTTGTCTCTAGACCCAGCCTCTGGGCACCACTCGGACCACCTTCGGAAGACCATCGGCGAGCAGAGCCGAGAGAGTATGTATTCGTTTGATCTCCCCGTGTGGGACTCTGAGAGTCAGATGCGGACATCGATCAAGTTTCCGATGTTCTTGCCCCATGAAAGCTTTTACTGGAGTTACAAAGCACACCCAGAGGAATTCGACATGTCTGGTATTGCTTCAACCGACCTCCCTGCTCATTACATCGACCACGAGGTCACACGGAGAAAAGGCAACAAATCCTTTCCGATATCATATTACTCAGACGGCGTTCCACATACAAAAAAAGATTCATTCATTATTTTCTCGTGGGCTAACATGATAAGTGGCACTAGGCACGTTATCGCAAACGTTCGGAAGAGCGACTGCTGCCAGTGCGGCTGCAGGGGCATGTGCACGATAGGGGCCATTATGGCCGTGATCATCTGGAGTCTGAACATATTGGCAGACGGCGTATTCCCTGCCCTCGGCCACGACCACAAACCTTTCGAGTCGGAATGGAGGTCAAACTACCGCGGTTTCCCAATAGCCGACGGACTGTGTGCAGCGCTCTGCGAAATGAGAGCTGACCTGCTTGAGTTTATTACAGCCTTGGGATTTAAGCGTTGGGACAACGTGAGGTCGCCCTGTTTTTGCTGTGATGTAGTTAAAAATTCCCTATTCAATTTTCCGCTGTCCATCGATCTCTGCAGTTGGGCAGATAAAGACCCACAGGTGCACGCAGGAATGGTGGCAAGGTGCAGGAAGAGAATCGTTGTCCGCAGCAAAGCAGCGCTGAAGCGTCTTTTGCAGTGTTGCCGTCACTCTGATGACTTATGGGGTTTTGGAACTTTCAAGTCATGCCCCGAGTTCGGGCTGACAGCTGGGTGGAGAATATTAGTGTCGGGGCGCGTGACAGATACGCACACGCTCGATGACATCGACGTCGGACCTTCTCAGCCCTTGGAAATTGATCTTTTTGACACTACCAACGAAGTTGGCCTCAATTTTTGTGCGCCTATCTTCAACGTGCTGGGCTTTGCGATCTCGATGCTGGCCTTAGATTATATGCACGTGTGCGATCTTGGAACATCGCAGTTTTTAGTTGGAGCTATTCTTTGGGCGTTAATTGAGAAAAATTTTTGCGGCAGTCGGGCTGGCACGATGATGATGAGAAACCACGACAACATCCTCCACCTTCGCAGGCGCCTCAAAGTGTTTTATCTTGCCCGCAGTGCTGTGTTCGAACGCGGGAAAAGAAACCGCATATGGAAGCTTTCGATCAAAATGCTCGGACACAAGGATAAACCCAGGCTGGCGGCCAAGGCCGCCGAAACCAGACACTTAATCCCTCTACTGCCCATGTTGTGTGATGAGAACCCGACAGTTTTCACTGGACAGTGGTCATTATTCCCGCATGCCTGCAGGGCCTTCTGTAAAGCCCAAGAGATTATTGAGTCCAGCCCTCGCCGTATAAGTGCAGCACAGCAGGCAGAGCTTGAGAAAAACATGTTGTTCTTCCTTCAGTACTACAAAGCTGCGGGCGGGCACCTGGTATTCAAACACCACGTGCTTTACCACCTGACAAAGCAAAGCAGGTTGGCTGGCAATCCTCGTTTCTACTGGACATATGTGGACGAAGGAGTTAACCGCGTGATGTCACAAGTTGCGCAGAGCGTGCATCACGGCAGCACGTTTTACGTTCGGATGCTCGAGAAACTGGTTCCTCTGTGCTAGCCTGGCATGTAAAAAGGGGGTGAAAAAAGGGGGGTGCTTTTGCGATCCCTTCTTCGCCTCTGGCCGCCCCGCGTGGGAAGGGCGCGGAGGGCCCAAGGGACAGAGACGAGGAGGAGAAAGGCGAGGAGGACGGAGAGGTTAAGGGAAGGAGGTTCGAGGAGCAGACTCCCCTCTCGTGTTCTCCCCTCTCCCCATCCTTACCCTGCCCGCCCGCCCCTCCCCCCCTTCGCTCGCGCGCTACTCCCTTTCCAGGGCGCAACGTTGAGATCGATCACTGCATGACGAACGGACAACACGCACCCATACCCATAGGGGGGTCGTTGGGAGGAGGACTGGCTATGGGTATGTGTGCGGGTTGTCGGACACTGGGGAACTCTCCCGTTCGAGCGGGGACCGCCATCCGACAACACGCGCGCGATCTCCGATCCCCCTATGGGTATGGGTGTGTGTTGTTGGTTCGTCATGCCATGTGTGGCGCCGGGTGTTCAGTGCGTGGAGGGGGGTGAACCCTCGAAGACCTCGAGCTAGGATCGATCACTCGAGCCCGACGCTGAAATGCTGGCGCGTCGCGGTCAAGCTCGGTCCAGGTCGAGGCCGCCTAGGATGCACTTCCAGGGCAGGCCCGAGCGCCAGAGGCGCGGTGGGGAAGGCTCGAGG